AACCGGGCAAGACAAGGTTCGCCACTGCTTTCTTGACTTTGCATAGTATTCACTTGCAAAAAGCCAATTTGAGAAAGTTGTTCACTTCATAGGAATGGAGCAAGAGTAAATTTGCAAAGGGAAGTGCGGGGAAAGATGTTGCACGCATTATTCTTTCTTATTCTTTTTGGAATAATGTCCTTCATGCTCTTAAAATTGGTGGCCCTTTGGTTAAAGTACTCCGTTTGGTGGATGGAGAGCAAAAATCACCAATGGGCTACCTCTCTGAAGCTATGGATAGGGCCAAGGAGGCTATTCAAGCATCATTCACTAATGAGCAAAAATATGCAAAGGTCTTTCAGATCATTGATGCAAGACGGAATGAGCAACTTCATAGACCTTTGCATGCAGCTGGACTTATTCTGAACCCGTCACTCTTTTATGATCAGCATGAGAATAATTCATTGGCTAAAGAAGTGTGGACGGGATTCCATCAGGTTGTTATCAAGTTGACCCCAGATGAAGACTTGCAAGAAGCTTGCAAGAAAAGATAGTAGATCAGCTTGCTATTTACAAGGCAGCTGAAGGACTTTTTAAGCTCCGACTTGCTATTAAACAAAGAAAGACGAAGTCACCAGGTGACCAAGCGTTTCTATATTTTATAGCTCTAACTTTAATGTATTCTTTATACTTATTAACTCTTGAACATTTTTTTTGACTTCTATAGTTGAGTGGTGTGACCAATATGGTGTAGAGACTCCGGATTTACAGACTTTCGCCATCAAAGTTCTAAGTTTAACTTGTAGCTCATCCGGAAGTGAAAGGAACTGGAGCGTTTTTGAACATGTGAGAAATAAAAAGAATTATTTCGTGTTTTGAGATAAAGTAAATTATATCTCAATTGTCCCAACTCCTACTAATTACTTGACATTTTGTTTGCAGATTCATACAAAGAAGAGGAATCGACTAACCTTGAAGCGCCTCCATAATCTAGTGTTCATCAAATACAATAGAGCATTGAGGCGTCGCTACAACTACCGCAATATAATTGATCCAATTCTTTTGGACAATATTGATGAGGCTAATGAGTTGCTAATCGGAGTCCCCGAAGATTGTGAAGATAAAGAAGTATTTGAAGGCGACTCTGATTTCACTTGGGGTGATGTTGCGGTTGGTGGTGGAGTTGGGGAGAATCCTTATGGTTTAAGGGGGATTACTTCAAGTTCAAGCTCGATTAGGAAGGGAAAAAGTGTGGCTACTACAAGTCGATCCCTATCCCTAATTGATGACGATGAAAGTGAAGAGGAAGAGGAGGGGGAAGAAGAAGATGACGAGCAATACGAAGATATCAAGATTTTGACAATCTTGAAGAAGAACAAGAAGAGTAGAAGAATAAGATGTCGATTCTAGTAATTTAGTAGCTTTGATTTTGCTTGTCCTATGGTTTGTGGAGGATTTGGTGGTACCTAGTACCTACTTTTAAGTTTTTAAATTGAAGTTTTTGATTATTTATAATTTTATATTGTGTCTTTGCAAGGTTTACATTATGTTTTTTAAGAATTGCGCTTCACTTTAATAAAGCGTGCGCTTCGCTTTTGAAGCGAGGCGAGCCTTCGTCGCTTTTTTACGCTTCTCGCTCTTGAAAACACTGAGGCCACTAGACACTCCCTGAGCAACAAAATCGGGTGGTTGCTCCATATAAACCTCATCCTCAAGGTCACTGTGAAGAAAAACATTCTTAATATCCAACTGAGAGAGAGGCAAACGGATGCTATTTTAGCCACGGGAGAGAAAGTATCACTATAATTGAGCCCAAATATCTAAGTATACCCTTTGGCAACAAAACGAGCCTTAAGTTGATCAACCTAGCCATCTGGACCAACTTTAACTGCATACGCCGAACAACCACCAACAATCTATTTACCCGAAGGAAGAGGAACAAGCTCCCAAGTACCACTCGTATGTAAAGCAGACATCTCGTCAATCATAGTCTGTCACCACCCTGGATGAGATAGTTTTTCACCTGTAGACTTAGGGATGGAAACAAAGGACAAAGATGATACAAATGCACAATGGGGTTTGACAGACGATGGTAACTTAAACAAACATAATGGGGAATACAAATACTCTAGGGCATTATCACTACGAAATGTGCGGATAGAAACCCCAAATTGATTTTGAATTTCAGTGTGGAAGGTCTGGAAAATAGAAAACAACTCAGATCGATTTTTCATCAAAAATATCCAAGTGCACTTGGAATAATCATCAATGAAACTGACAAAGTAGCGGAATCTCAAGGTAGAACTGACCTGACTAGGTTCTCAAACATCTGAATGGACTAAAGTAAAAGGTGACTCTGCTCGATTATCAAGACGTCGAGGGAAATGGGAGCGGATATGCTTACCGAGCTGACATGACTCACACTCTAGAGTGGACAAGTGAGATAAACCAGGTACCATTTTCTGAAGTTTTGATAAACTGGGGTGTCCCAACCGTTTATGTAATAAATTTGGTGAAGCAGTAACAGGACAAGTTGTTGAAGGAAGACAAGATGTGAGTCCATGTGATTTTGCAAGCATAAGGTAATAAAGTCCATTTGATTCACGCCTGGTACCAATGATCCGCCCTGTCCTGCGTTACTATATAAAAACAATGTCATCAAGAAATAAAACAGAGCATCTAAGTGATTTGGCTAAGCGACTAACGGCTATGAGATTAAAAGGACTACCGGGAACATAAAGAACTGAATCTAAAAGTAAGGAAGGAAGTGGACTTGCTTGACCTATTCCAGTTGCCATGGTTTAAGACCCGTTAGCCATTGTGACTGTTGGGAGAGAATGGGAACATGAAATAGTAGCTAAAAGAGATTTGTTACCAGAAATATGATCAAATGCACTTGAATCAATGACCCAAGACTCAAAGGTTGGAGATTGGATACATAAGTCACTCTACTATCTGTTTGAACAACGGAAGCTATCCTTGAAGATGTTTGTTTACACGCTTTGTACTAAAGGAACTTAATATAATCCGGTAAAGAAACCATCTGGATTAGATTCAATGCATTGTATCCAACGGATTGTGAGTCAAAGGCTTCTAATACGAATGTCATTACAATGTTTACGCCGAAAAAAAAGCAGAATTTTTCTAGAAATTACTATTCACGCCGGAAAAATATAAAATTGGTTGGAATTTGATTTAAATTGGATGGTTAGGCTTGGAATTGCAAAGGGAACAAGCTAGCCTGAAGAGTCGTCACAAAAAAATGGTCGGAAGGTGGCCCACGCGCCGGCACGTGATGTCGGAACTTCGCCGGATTTTTTTTTCTTGCGGCGCGTGGAGGGTCTTCTGACGGAGATTTTTTTATGGGTTGGTCGCCGGAAGCCGATCTACTTCGTTGTGGTGTTGGTTTTTGCACAACACTGACGAATAGTGGCTTTTTACTTGCGGCAGACCTGTGTTTGCTGGAAAAAAGAGACTTCCGGTTGACTGATTTCTCTTTGCGGAGTCGCTGGAATTTATGCACAGCGATAAATCTCTCACAATTGCTATGATACCATGTGAGAAAGCACGGGAGAAAAATATATTATTGATATTCTATTTAATTATAATACAATGAGCCCTATTTATACAACACATATCATACTCCTATTCTATGTGGGACTAGGACTAATTCATGTTATGTACATAACTATCTAACATAGTCTTTTAGCTCTAATGAGTTGAAAGCAACAACCATGTAAAGTTTGAAAAGCAAAGCACGTATAAAAGATAAGTTGCAATATGAAAAAAGCCCATTTCAACAGTCTCGACTCTCGTATAAACCATGAAATTCTTTTTTGTCTAGAAGAAGTTACACCAACAGGTTATGCATCTGCAACTCCACATAATGATCCCAAGAACCAAAATGAACTAGTGATAGAAATGAAAGAACAAAAGGATTTAGAGAAGTGCAACTCACCAAGAGAGTACAAGCGATACCAGTTGACAAGCATATAGCAAAACCATAAAGCCTCTGTTGAGAAAAAAAATGAGCATAGTTGGTCACTGATTACACATATGATAGTGCAGTTAGTGTTCCCATTCACTTTATGAAAGAAAATTCAGTATAAGTGTACTGAAGCATCACATTCTGAATAGAAACAAATTGAACTCGGCAAGATATAATCGACCCATAGGATAGTGCAAGTTCCACTGTCACCATATCTAGTTCTCCTTGGTTACATCTCACAAAAACCACACATTTTATCTTCTTGAACATCTTCCATGTTGTGCTCATAACGAAGTAGTTTCTTTTTAGCCCATTAGTGATAGTATGGGATCCTGTTAAAAGGGAGAGAGGAAATCTGGAAACCCCAATAAAGAAAATTGCATATTCACATGTCAATACACATTACAATCACATGTCTGCATAAAGTTAACAAGTCTGCTCACTCTTTAACTAGTGATTCGACCTTCCAGGCCCTCTATCTAGCAACAACAATGGGGTCTGGGGAATTCTTAAATAGGCCCTCTATCTAGCCTATTTATGAATTCTTTCTTGTCTCTGGTGCCGACCTTACCGGGATTCTTCAGTTTTCCTACATATACCTATGTCTAATGGGTATTAAATGGTCAGGATCCTTCAAAGTACTTTAAGAACCAGAAAACACCATAATAAAAATAACACAAAAGAAAATGCTGTGATTTCATGCACATGTGGCACTATCACATATGTTGATGTACACTCGAGAAAGCTCATCCTAATCTCCGTAAAGATTATTGCCTTTGGCTTGGTTAAGATGGAATAACACTCAAATCTCACTCGCTCCCTCCTCCCTCCCCCCGGCTGTTTTCTTCATCCACTAACCATATCAACCGCATGTTTTTTGTCATATGCTTACTGTATCAACTGCATGTTACTTCCATACCCACTAAAGATTATATATTGTATATTTTAGTAATATCAGTGTCCATAATAATTAAAGTATTAAACTAGGATTCAGGTTTTTTTCCTTTTTTATATGGTAAGGTGTCTTATTAATGAGTACTAAACCAGGATTCAGTACCATATCACTTCTTGATACCTTACACCTGTTGATCTCAACATCAAATAGTGTAATTCAAACAAATTGACTATGTCATAGTACAATCTTCCCAAGATCAATTATCAATTTCTCTTCAAATTACCATCCATCCTAATTGAGAAAATCATTCTCGCACCTACGATGATATTTTCTTTGCTGAATCTTGTAAGGAAGTTGAGAGAGAAGCATATTATGTTTCAAGTGATGGGCTAAGATTGAAAAACTTCTTCTGTACAAGTATCTGCATCGGTCAAAATAATCTAAGGATTTGTACAATACTTTAACCATAAATGGGGAAGAAATGAGTCCACGTGTAGGTTCCAACCTCATGTGTTTTCACCAAAAAAAATGAAAATTTGAGTAAGGTAAAATAATGTGTTCTCACCAATTTTAAGAATATATATCTTAGCCCTGTTGCAAGTGCTTTAACTTTCCAGTAGTCTTAAACAGAGACAGAGAAACATCTCCTCCTGATATCTCTAGATAGAGATATTTCCAGTAATATTCTTCCACTAACAACCGCACTTCATTTTTCAGGCTGCTTAGCTGCATGTCCATTAGAAAAGGTTACCAGTATACTATTTTCCAATATGCTAAGCAGGCATGACTGCTAGAGGAACTAAGCTAGTGCTACAAAACAGAGCTACAGATTGTGCAATTCCTCGATTATATCTAACATGGCATCTACATCCTGTACAAAAGCTAGGTTGCACCAAAAGCTAGCAAAGAAAAAGCTCTAAGCTTAAGGCTGCGAATGTTTCTCTTGGTGCTTTCAAATTATGTTATTGGAGTACTATTCCAGCAGGATATTTTTTAGCAGGTAGTATAACTCGCCAAGCAGGATAGATCAAGTGAGTTAAAAACAACAGGCTTTTACCATTGCTAGAGTTTCTAGAATTTCTTCCATTCTTCTAAGTTTTGCTAATTCTAGCTCTACCTTCAAGTCATCAAACACAAGTAATTACAATAATTATTTCAAAACTTAAAAGCATTGAGTTACTTGTACAAATGCCTTTACAATGCAGCTATTCAAAAACACTTTTCGTTTGTGGCCAAACACCTCAAATCTCAAAAGGAAAAAAAAAGTGTTTCTATCTTCCCAAAAGATCGGCCAAACAGGCTATAGCATCGACCTCTAGATGTCATCAGTTCTAGCTTTTTGTTTTCCCTTTCTTACATTTTTAATTACAAAAGTAGACATTTTCATAATTTAAATCTGTGTTAATGGACCCCGACTTCTAGTTCATCAGATACGTGGACGTGCACATTCAGATATTCCTAGAGTTTTTAGCTATTACAAAGGATCCATACTTAGTATCTATTCCCCATTCACGTAACACAGCAATG